ACTAACACAGTACCCATGAAAATCATTTATTTAAACTTCACATTTCTAGGACCTAGAGATGCTAATTCAGTAGGTCTAGGTAGCACTAGGGAAAAATTATATATATATATCCCACATACACACAATTGTAGAAAAAGTATATAATTTTTATAAGCATTCTACATATGCAAAGAGATCACTAAAATAGTTTCCATTCCTTCTTGGATAGAGCTAAACTACGGTTTCCAGCCTCTCTTGTAGCGGTGTGGGGACTGTATAATTGATTCCTGGCCAATGGAATGTAGGCAAAAGTGCATCACTTGTAGCATTAGTCCCTAAAACCACTCTTGAAATCCTATACGTTGGCTTTTTCTCTTCTTGTCATCTGCTGATTGGATACAGAGAATCCCATGGAGGACTCTGAGACCCTGGAGATGGCAGAGGCATTAGAGGGAGGAAACCTGTGCCCCTGAACGACTGCATGGAAAAGACCACTCTTAACAATGTGCTGATGTACACTGAGCTATGTAATGAGCAGCAAATAAATCTTTATGCTGTTAAGCTACTGAGATTTGGGGACTATTTGTTACAACACTTAGCTTTGCTTAACCTAATACAGCAGACGATTCTAAAATGGTCCAGCACCAACCTTTGGAAAAACACTACCCTGCACAAAACTATGAAGAAGTGAATGATTCAGCTTCTGCTGATAATTCTTTAACTTCTAAGAATGACTCAAAAGGTAAGAATTGCAGATGTGGTGGCAGTCCAGGTGAATGCATGCTTTGGGGCAAGTGCTTCCCTAATTACATTCCATAAATATTGCCTCCTCATAAAATATACTCAGAAGAAGTAATAATGTTTATGATATTGCTGTATTTCCTGAATATTTCCCTCCTTTTCCTCTCTCTTCCTTGATCCTGTCACCACAGGGGTAGGAAGATGAGTCTCAAGAGGAAGGGAAAGAAGAGCCTCACGTTTGTAGAGTTGGTTATGAGGCAAACACTATACTGAACACTTTTTATGCACTGTCTTATTTACACTCACATGTATTTCTTTAAAGTAGGCTGTAGGAAGATGAGTCTCAAGAGGAAGGGAAAGAAGAGCCTCACGTTTGTAGAGTTGGTTATGCAGCAAACACTATACTGAACACTTTTTATGCACTGTCTTATTTACACTCACATGTATTTCTTTAAAGTAGGCTTGAACATTCCTATTTTACAATGAAGACTCGAGCTTTGTGGAAATTGTTGTGCTAGGTATTTAGAGATTTGCCAATGAACTTAAAGCTCTGCTCCTTTAGAGAATTTTACTAGGTGACCTAAGTACACCTGAGTTATGCTTCTTGGTGGGAAGACAGACAAAGGGACATAAACTTACTTTTAGCGGTACCATTGGACTGGAGCAGCAGTCTGGCGAGAGCTATATTCTATGCAACGGGCCACTTGGCCTAGTTCTCTGCAGAGCTATTCTAAGTAGACTGAAGATAACCCTGTTTTAACTCATTAAGTTCCTTGAACTCTGACCCTGGAGAAAGGACACACTTTGTATATAAAGCCTTAGAAAGATACTACTGTTGACCTTAGAAACTCCATTTCTAGGGATCAATTCTAAGGAAATAACTTGAAATATGGAAAAGACTGTACACAAAAAGCTCTGCCATGACACTATTTATAAATAGACAAAGAGAAAACTAACTAAATACTACTCAAGCAAATGTCATTTAATGATGTGTCATCAAATGACATGTGGTCATTCAAATAATCATGAAGAGGGCTTGAAATAACTTTGAAAATGCTGAAAAGATCATGTAAAATGAAAAATATGAAAATGTGGATTTGAATAAATATGGCAATCTAAAATGAAAAATAAAAACTAATCATAGAAAAAAGACTGGAAAGAAATATATTAAAATGTTAACAGTGTTTGTCTTTGAGAAAATAATTATAGATTATTTCTTCTCACTTTTCTATTTTTTTCAGATGTTCTCATACTTACGTTTTATAATGAAAAATCATAATATAAAAAATTTAAATATAAGGATTTTTCTCTAGGAAAATAGATCAGAATCAAAATTTTTAATTTTTTTTAAAAAATTATGAAGTAGAGTACACAGATGGAAAAATGTATAAAATACACAACTCCAGGATTTATCACAAGACTGGCATGATTGCCAGTGCCCAGAGCCACTCTCATATCTCTCCCAATCACCGTCCCCTGTGCTGAGCCCAGGAATAATGACTATCAAAGTTCTGTGGTAACCATATCCTTCATTTTCTGTAGAATGTTGTCTCTTAAGTCCGAATCCTTAAGCATTAAGATTTCATCTACTTTTTGAACTTTATGTAAATGGACTCATAGAACATTCCTTTGCATATGCTTTCTCTTATTCAACACTCTGAATGTAGGATACATCCATGCTGTTGCATGTGGCAAAATTCATCTATCGATGTATAGCATTGCATTGTATGAATACACCACTATTTATTTAGCATTGTTCCATAGGTCTTTCTGGTCTGGACTGTCATGAATAGTGCAGCTATGAGCATTCTTTTACATGCCTCTTAGTGCATGTGTGCAGTTATTTTGAGTATAAGCCTGGCGTGGAAGTTCTGGGTCACAGGATGTGCATATCTTTAATTTCAGTAGATTTAATGCCAAACCGTTTTCCACAGTGGTTCTAACAGTTTGCACTCCCATGAGCAGGAGACATGTGCCACTCCTTTTGGAGTGGGAGTATATGACCCTTAAAAGGAGATTCTAGGAAATTCGTTTTTAGACAGACTGGGGAAAGCCTCTGTATCAGATTATGAGATCCCCAAGGCTCACAAGGGATGTTGCCATTGTCATATACTTGCTAGGTCAGAATCTAAGCTGAACTTGAAGTGAATATCCCAGTAGAATGCAAAAAAAAAAAAAACCCCAAAAAACAAAAAAAAACACCCCACAACCCACAGAGCTGAAAGGCACTCAGAAGTAACACTTGAGTGAAAAGAGTTAGATACTGAGAAGTGAAGTTCGAGATGTAAATGAATCACACAAATGAAATATCTTTGAGTAGTTCTCAATCCAGGGCCACTTAGGAAGCCATAGAGGTGGTAATGGGGTTATACCAGGTATTTTACATATTAAAAACTTAAGAGAAATCAAACATTACTGAAGATGTGAGTGAGCGGGATTTCTATAGTTTTCTGACTTTGTTTCTGCCTGGATTTCTATGAACTCTGGTGATGGCTCTGGCTACTTCATGCTAGCTAATAACAAGCTTTGCTTGGAAGTCATATATGTCTCTGATTAAAAACGTTAAGAAAATTAGTTAAAAATTAACATGTCAAATCTCTCAAACCTTGGGGTGCATGGGGTCTGTGGTAATGAAGAGGCAGGGAAGGACCGAAGGTCTATCAGGCAGAACATGGGTGTTCTTGGCAACCCATGAACATGCCACAACCGCAGCTCCAATACTCCCCTCTTGGCCGTGCTGTACCTCCTAGTGCAGTGCTCATGATGGGTCCCCCATGGGATGATGGGTTTTACCCCTATTTGCAGGGCACAGGGGCTTAGCAGCCCTTGACAAGCCTGTTATACCAGGGTAAAAGAAAAATCATGGAGATGTCATGTGCCACCTCTGGAAGAAATACATCTTGGGAGGCAGGATAGATGTCCCCAGGTGATGAGAGGAAAGACGCTGTATTAGTTTTCTGTGGTTGCCATAGAAAATTACCACAAACTTCGTGGCTTAAAAGAACAAAAAATGTATTATCTTACAGTTTTGTAGGTTAAAATTCTGAGCAGACTAAAATCAGGGGGTCAGCAGGACTGCATTCCTTTCTGCAGGCTGTAGGGGAGAACCTGTGTCCTGGTCTTTTCCAGCTTCTGAAGTCTGCCCACATTCCTTGGCTCGTGGCCTCCTCCCTTCAACTTCAAAGCCAGTGACATTGCATCTCTCTGACTTTTTTCCCCGGTCACATCTTCTGCTTCTCTTCTTTTGCCACCTCTTCCACTTTTAAGAACACTGTGATTACTTAGGGCTATCAGGATCAACCAGGATCATCTCCCTATCTTAAGGTCAGCTGATTAGCATATTCAGTTCTATCTGCAACCTTAATGTCCCTCTGCCATGTCACCTAGCATGTTCACATGTTCCAGGGATTAGGATATGGACATCTTTGGGGCATTATTCTGCCTACCACAGACCCTTGGTAACAGAATGGTTGACTGGGGTGTTGGTGGGGGTGCTGAAGGAAGGGGAGGGGTCCTGAGTGGAAGTGAGGAAGCATTAGGAGGCTGAGACTCTGGGTCATAAAAGCATCCCCCACCCTCCACTTCCTCTTGGTGAAACAGAGTACAAAGGAAGGCAAGCACACCCTGTAAATGATGTGACTTGTCACTGTAACCCAGGAAGGGACATCCTGGGTTTACTGAAAAAGGTCTGCCAATTTCCAGACATTTTCAGGCAACAGCTTGATGTATTGCTGAGATGATGACATGCTAAGTGATCCTTCACATGGTATTTGGGCCCTTCTCCCTTTGCACCTCAAGAGAGATGTCTGAATGTTGCCCCAGAGTGGAAGGACTAAAATACTAGAAATCAACAGGGTTGTAACAGCTCACAATGGACCTTCTTCCTGCCAGAGATCAGGCTTAAGGACGTTGTGTTAATCTTGGCAGAAGTAGATACTCTCTATTATGATGCTGATTTAGAGGTGAGGAAAAGAGAGCCCTGGCCATGTCCTGACCATCACCGCCCTGTAGTTACAACCAGACACTGGGGGCCCAGAAGAAGAGCTGGGCACATCGGGTTTTTTCGCCGCCCGTGCTTGTTATTCTGAAGGAGGCTGCTTTCCTGTCGTGCCTCCGCAGCCTTTGCTAAACAACCCTGAGCACATTTGGCTGCCTGCACGTTCTCCCTGCCAGGCTGACGAATGGAAGCTAGAAGTCGTTACATTCCTAATTGAGCAGATTAAAAAATGCCAGTTCCCAGGAGCTGATGGCAGAATTGCCCTCAGTGCCACCTGGCCCCTTTTGAGGCCCCAGCTATGCTGAGAGGGGTGGGGGGTCGGGGGTGGCTGAGGGATTTAGCTCTCCTTTGTCCCCAAACTCTCTTGTTTGGGTGGGGCTGCATCTGTTGTGGGGGATGGCCGTCCTGTAATGAGGCCCGTGGCTTGACCATGTCTGCTCTCTGGCCTTGTTGGCACAAGACCAGCCTTTCTGGGGTGGGTGTGAGCCTGGTGCCCTCTTTATGGAGGAGGCTGGTCAGGATTCTCGAGACAGAGTCTGCAGACCTTCATTCCAACTCTGCTCTATTTACAACTGTGGTTCTCTCTGATCTCTCCTTCTGGAACTCCTACACTACTAAGGGAAGCTGCCCAACCACTAACGACTAACTTGCATCGGTATTTAAGTTTCTGCTGTTTCGTGCTCCAAATTATTTCATATGTGTGACCCCCCAACTAAGTTTCTTGAAGGCAAATACTGTTCTCACTTCTGGTATCTCCTTCTTAAACACACTAGGGCTGAGACCTACAAAGTACATAAATAATTATCAGTTTATTATGATTTTTTGGCTGAATT